GCGACTGTTCGGGTACGTACCTGTCTATGTTTTTGCCGAGAATCTCCATGTAATCGGTCATTTTTGAGGCGTAATCAGAGTCTGTAGTGTGATGTGCACTTCCTTATGCATAAGGAAATTGCTTTTGTGTAATTTTGATTAGACTAGTCCCAGTATCCGGCGGTGAAAAATGTTCGCCTTTTGACGGAGTGTCATTTTTTGCCAGTCGCACGATTTCGTTTGTCATCTATCATTTAATTAACTCCATTCCGGAAATTTCGCAACTTTTTCGCTTTCTATCAAGGGTAAACATTCCTGAAGTCAACAGTTATGTGGCAAAAGTCAAATTAAATGTGCTCCATGGTCTACGTGTACTTTGTTGACTGTAATGGTTTGTGATGTGTGGTCGAAAAAGGTTAGTAACATGATTCAAGATTCAATCAGAATGTGAACTTGTCATCACTCGTTTGAGTCACTGAGTACATCCCGGTGATTATCGCCTGATTGGGGGCCTGGGGATTGTACAAATCACAAGGTAATGAGTTCAATAATCGAATGAGCACCACTTTAACTTTTATGAGATGACGACGATTGGCTTTCCAACGGTACGATGATGCCCTATAGATTACTCGGAATACAAAACGTTCGATTTCATGTACGGTGTCCGCAAATTGCATTACGATCGCAATTCATATGGTTTTTCTTGTGTCTGTTTGTTTCTTGATTCTTTGTGATAACTATTTAGCGCTTGTGTCTAACGTATACAAAGCTGAAGTGGTCATTGATTAAACGTAACCAGGCGACTCATCTTCAAGGTTTAAAGAAAATTATTGTGCAACTTATGAATCGGATGCGTAATAAAGCCACAGGGAAGGTTCCGGAAAGTACCTTATGGCTTGACCTGAAATACAGTTGATCACATTAGGGTGCGTTCTTGCTGTGCACTTTGTCCGCTTTTGCTGAAAAAGAGCACTGGATGGCTGTTCATCCTTGGTAAGGCTGATCGAAGGTAACTCAGCGCCAATAGTAGTGTCGAAAGTGTTAATAAAAGTGCTAACCCGACATAACCATGACCTGCTGAGTAAGCACTACAAATGGTATCTGATTGATAAACCCAAGATCCCAGGGAAGATGAATGCATTTATTTGTGTACAGTATATTTTGTGCTTTACACCGACTCCATTTCTCCTTTCCATATGCAATATATGCCCCTAAGTGTTAAGTGTTGCTGTGTAACTTGATATCACTGAACTAATTTCAAATCTGATAGCCGGCAACCAACTGTTCCTGTTCTTATGTATTTCTTTGACGAATACTGATAACACAGTGAAACGGGTGAGTGCTGATATATCCAAGGCTGGAGCATTATGCGGTAGACTATGACACCCTACAGACATTCAGTTCCCTTCACAAATATTAACACGACAAGGTAAAGCTAAATTTCCCCAATGAGTGACCACCATTATCTAATACCCATGCTTAACGGCGGCAGTGATTGTTCGGCTACCCTATCAGACTCGGGCGATGCACCGTGGAACTTCTGTTTCGTACAATATGGTGGACGTAGCCTCGAACAGGTCGAAAACCAGTCTAATTCTCACGGNGCTTGGCAAACAATTGATGCATTACAATAACAGTGTAAAGCTTTGAGACGACATTGGTCAAACTAATTCGAGGGTGGTGTTCACGGGAGGATTTATATCACCTTTTTATAAATCGGCGAGATCACCGATTCATACCATTCATCACCTACCAATGTTGAACCCAGTAATTTTGGAAACTCCAAGACAATCGTTAGGCCCCCGTTCCTAAACGACGATATCGACAATCTTTCTGGATTGGAGATGTGATGCATTTTGAAGTTACCTCTTTCTCGGGTAGCCTCCATTTCAAAAGTAGATGCTCTATGTATGTGTAGAGGTTGTATCCTTAGTGCGGAAATTAACTCAGCAAATGTTCACGGATATCAATTTAACTGTCTTAATATGGTCTACTCACAGCTCCAGACGGCGTTGGTGACCGGGAATCAGGGTATCATCTAATTGCTAATTAACTTTCGCTAAATAACAGTAGACCAGTGATCACCAGTAGTCAAAGCCCTCTCCGTCTCTCCATATTTGACCACGTACCATTTCTCAGGTTATTGATAAGCTGACATCTAAGTTAGTTGCGCGTAGTGTTGCATGTGGCATCCGAAGGAGTGGCACAGAGCGTCCAACAGTAATAGAGGTCAGCAAAATCCATTATTTGTGGTTGGACAATGCGCTAGAATTCATTGTTTTGATAGGTGATTAAATTGCTTCTGTGATTAGCTTTCATTGTTCATCTAGTCTCTCGACGAGTATTCTGACATCAATTAGAGGTGTCCTTTTACTACTTGGACGACATCTCGCGGGGTACGACGACGAGTCTTTGAGGCAAGGAGATTGTCCAGTTGTTGAAATACAAAGATGACCGAAATTCGGCGTTCTCCTACCCTCTGACACACGAAGCGAATTTGCTTGCGTGTGGCGCGCCTGTGTACGTGCTAATTTTCGATATTACTGGGTGATCAATAGCCCGACCGTCAGTTGGTCATTACATTCAAGGCTTATTGTTGTACTCCGCACTTACCGTCCACATAGAAGTATCAGGATATCTCAAGATGTTATCCGCTGGATTTGAAAAATGTATACTTACGAATCTTACTTTGATACCGCTCACACTCATTCACGGCCGTAAAACAATTAACATTAGATGTGTCTAACTGAGCTGTTGCTGTTGATTTACTTATCTCTGATCCGTTCTGCCCCCTTGTTCTGCTCAGGTTTTGTCAATATGTGCATCCAGCATATTCCCAGTCCGGTTGCGTCGGCCAAGATCAAGGTACCTCACTTGTATACGGGGCCTTTGGATAGCGCATTAGCATTGGACATGCTCGCGTGTTCCATGGACTCAAAGCAGGTAATGGTCCACACAACCAAATTGTATCCGGATGAGGAAGCAGTGGCTTTTCACGTTTACGGTCGTGTGATGTCGGGTACTCTGTTCGCTGGACAAACAGTCCGTGTCCTGGGTGAAAACTATTCACTAACAGACGAAGAAGACTCACGTCACGCCACTGTGGGACGTCTATGGGTCTCTGTAGCTCGGTAAGCGATATACAGATCCGTTTGCTTTGCTGAGAGATGTTGGTAGTTATTTATTCGTCACAGATGATCAGTTCTCGTGGTTCTTTTGGATCTCGAGGAGCTATCGGAGTAGACAATTCACATTCAAGTACTCTTTTTCTATCACCTCCCATAAAGCAACTAGTGTATACATCTATTGCCCAATANTTTTGTTAATTCATATATATATATATATATATATATATATATATATATATATATATATATAATGTCCGTGTTGTAAATAAGGCCGTTTCCTTTGTAGCTCGGGTAGTGTGACTTAGTTTTCAGTTGTGCGCCGAGCTTGGCAATGAGATTCGTAACGTTTCACCATCAACTGAGGTGACGCTCAATGCGGTTCACACCCAGTTATTATTGCATTAAAATGTGTCCAAACCATTACTATTTTACGCACCTCCTACGAGACTGATAGACCACAGTGCAAATGATGCAACCTCTTACATAAACGGTCCTGGATCTCATGTGTTCCTTAGAAATCAAGCATCTTGAAGCATTATTACTCATTTAAGGCCCATGCACTATTTTTAAATTCGTGGATTGTTTGATTTCAATGAAATGTATGTTGGTGATTAGAGTTGAAGATATCGCAAATCTCGAAGCATCTGTTTATCATCAATCTCAACATCAACCTGGTATCTACAGGTATAGATTGGAGGTGAATCGTGTACCTGCTGGGAATTGGGTTCTCATCGAGGGTGTGGATCATCCTATCGTCAAAACTGCCACCCTGACTTCGACGGACGCTAAAGGTGCATGTATTTTCCGGCCATTAAATTTCAATACCAACTCAGTTGTGAAGATTGCCGTGGAGCCGGCTAACCCCTCTGAGTTGCCCAAATTATTGGACGGATTGCGAAAGGTAAACCCTAATTGCGTAACGTTTTTGTAACAAAGATTCATGATATCCGCTAGTACGGTACTTAGTGTTGAGTTTTGTAATGTTAATAATTGCTTGATGTAAGTCGATAACTGTTACGATCTTGCCTCAAAACACAATGCTCTGGAAATACCAACGATACAATTCAGTGAATCGTTAAGCACTTTCGGTTCCAGATTTCCCAGTCGTAAAGCAGAACCCTACAAACAATCGTTGTGGACTCTCCCTTCTGAGGGTACCACTCATCGATACCTAGGCTTTTAGGCGTACATTTAACCGTCTTCCAGTTAGCATCGGGATTTGTACGTTGGGTATCCTCTAATCAAACCGGTTTCCATCACTGAATAGCAGGTTTTCGTGACTATGTGGTTTACCCCGTCTGCTTTTCATTTGCTATTAAAAAACAGTATCATAAACGAGGGGAGGTGAAGGTGGGTTTTTCTCTTGATCGGATTGGACAGACATCAGTGCCCCATCATCAGAATAATTTTTCTTTGTAAACGGAATCCCAATCTGCTCAAGAACCAGTCTTTTTGAAATTGTCAAGTAACCACAACTCTCACTAAAGTGAAGCTTCATTTTGTTGCGCAGCATCATAGGCCATCGGCACCAATTATTCTTCAGCTTCAGTAATTAATCCGTTCATATCCGTCACATAAACTGTTACTTTCGCACGACGCTTTTACATCGGGCTGACAAATGCCAGGTTTCGCATGTCGTTTAACCATACATTTTCCATTCGACTTAAAGGTTAACAAAAGCTACCCGTTGCTGGCCACCAAAGTTGAAGAGTCCGGGGAACGTGTGATACGAGGCACCGGGGAACTCTATCTGGACTGTGTCATGCACGATTTACGCAAGCTGTACTCGGATATCGGTACGTTTGTACTCTCTGTTACGCAGTTTGTTTGGTACTCTTCCATTTTCCATTCTGAGCGGATGCTCGTTCATTAGCATTTGTTCTCCTATTAACTCTCTAATCAATGTACTTATCATTGTTCGTGTTCATTTTGTTTGCCGATCCCAGAGTGAGAGAGGGAGGGAGATGGTTAATGCTAACTTTCCCCGTGTTGTAGGACG